AACTGTAAATTTACACTATCAGTTCCTATTGGGCCACTTGAAGCGAAAACGGCGACCATTTGCGTTAATTTCCATTACGTGCGGTGAACACTGAGTGAAATGAACGTGCCAGGGGGACATATACTACGAAGCTGCGTTGATATCGACGTGCCCTTGCAAAGCTTTCGAAAAAAGAACTACGACAACACAATACCATCGCACTGGCCTCGTGTCAACGTAGAAAAATGTCGTCGACGAATACTGCCAACTCAGCCAACAATGAGAAAAACACAAAATACACCAGACAAAACAAAACGCAAGTGATCGATTACAACTTATACCAACTTCAAGATGAATTTTAATACGTATTTTTTGTCTCTCAACCACGCGAGACGCTGCCGACGAAGGAATCCAGTTTAAACACGTTTGTTTCGATTGTTCGCGCTTTATCACTAATATCGGAGTATGCTCAGCACGCGTTATCGGTGCAGACCCTGGACTATCTCTCTTTAATGAGTGATGGGTCATATAGGCTCACTAATAAGCCCTCTCGCTTGCCACCACCAACACGAGACCATCTTACGCTAACTACAGACCCCATTCCCATCCATCTCCCAAAAGCACTCCGACTAGATTAGCACGGCAAGTGATAACCACCACAGCTCTGCTCACAGACACACGCGCTACCGACACGCGTAGCATTCTCGTCTGCTCCTCCTTCCATCCGATAGATAACACTTGAAAACGGCGTATTGTTCGAGTGTACACCGAGCAGCGGTGAGATCTGTCTACGCCTCTATCTCTCATAGAGAGAGAGATCTAGAGGTCACCGTTGGACTCACACGCCACCGCAGATTAAACACGATCCCGTGAATTGACGAACGCAGTCGCAGCCGCAGCCGCATACCTATACCGCAATTCTCGCTTGCTCGAGTCTGCAGTCGCCACGCCCTCCGATATACGTAAAGCCTGTACTTGCCCGCGTTCTTTGCACCGACTATTATTACTACCTTGGCAAGTGATACTTGCCGTCAACTCACGTGCACGCAGATATGATCAATAATCGATCGATACGATAAACGTGGAGAGTATACAGACCTTATAATCAATACGACACACATAGATTGTAAAGATGATCACGAAGTCATAACGCAAACGCGCAAATACATATTAGTTTGATACTCTAGCCAAAAAAATTCGCCCACGCCTACCTTTCAGTCAGTCCCTGATCTAGGTTTGCGGGTGATAGTAAAGTGCGTGCACAGTATTGTGTCTACGGCAGTAATGCATGCTGGCTCGCTCGCCATTGCTTGACCCATTTGTTTCAACGTTTCAAACATACTTGGATACTACGTTGTTCTAAATAATTATTCTCTGCACGCTAAATACTGCAGTCAATTTTACAAAGCGGGCATACTACGTTAATCTCACTAACATTCCAATAGAACTGCATGCTGTAATCAAACAGTAGTTAAAAAATTTAACACAGTATATATACATATATACGTGTATATATATCTATATATATACTATTCCCCCACGTTTGTTGGCGAGCTACAGCGACCCACATTTCGCATTTTTCTCTTGCAGCCCTTCGTCGAAAAAATCAAGTTGATGCAGATCATCGGCTATAGTCTGTCGCTCGCGTCGCTCGCCGTCGCCGTCGTGATTCTCGTCAGTTGCAGGTGAGAGATTGACGCCAGACTAAAACCCCTGGCGAGCATCTGTGTGACGTCACGCTCATTAACGCTAGCCGTGCTAATCATAACACGAAGCTGTACGATTACTGAGATAAATTATCACACGGGAGAGGGAGAGGGAGATGGATAGGAAGAGGGAGAGGGATAGGGAAAGGGAGAAGCAGAGG